TAGCTCAAACCCTAACTATGCCGCCTTTGCTTCAAATGCAGCTATTGGAACAAATATTCAACACCTAATCCCTAAATTTACAGGAACTTCTGACATTGCAACCTACCTGCAAATTTTTGAAAGACAATGTGAGAAAGTTAATATAAAACAAATAGATTACATCACTCATCTCCTACCTCTTCTGCCTATAGACATTTCGCAAATTATTTTAAGAGAACCAAAAGACAAATTAGAAGATTATTCTTACATCAAGAAGATTCTGCTACAAAGATTCAAATTAAATGCTGAATCATTTCGAATTAAACTTACTACACACCAAAAACACCCTGGGTCCTTATGGAAAGATTTTACTTACGAATTAAACAATTATCTCGAAGAGTGGCTTCATAGTCTCGATGTTACAGACTTTGAATCACTCAAAGACTTGGTCCTGACGGATCAGCTTAAAAGAAGAGTCAGTAGTGACGTTAAGGAGCATTTTATTGATACTTGGGGAAAAATAAAGAGTTCATCTGAATTAGTACAGAAATTGGATGATTATGAAGCTGTACGTGTTAAAAATACGAACTATAAAACTGAACTTCCTGGCAGGCGGAACTATTCTTACAAACCGACTAATCCATCCAAACACAAAGTAGAAAATCGAACAAGTGACGTACAGGGAACTCATAAAACCTTTTCAAATCGTAGTCAGCAACAAACAGAGGAAAAGCGACCTCCTTTAACATGCTATGGGTGCGGAAAAACTGGTTTTATCAAGTCTAAATGTCCAGACTGTAACCCCCCAAAGACTTCAAATTCATCAAATTTTGGCACTATCCAAATCCGATCCTGTTTATCTTCCACTCGGACTGCTGTATTTCCAATTAGTATTGGTGGTGTTTCCGGTACAGCTTTCGCCGACACTGGTGCTAGTCACTCAATTGCAAGTGAATCCCTCTATCATATTCTGCAGAAACAAGATGCAGTATTTGAAAAGACAACACTAGAGGTGTCTTTCGCTGATGGTTTGGTATCTGAAAAAGAGGTACTTCGCACCGAACAAATTATTCTTCTCGAAGGCAGAGAGTTCAAAACTCCGCTCCTTGTGTTGCCTGATGCCAAAAATAACTCGACTCTGTTAGGAATTGACTTTCTTCAAAAAGCTAAAATTGTTTTAAATCTTGCTGAAAATAAGTGGAACTTTTCTGATGAACCTCGAAGAAAATATAGCTTCGTGAAACCTCATCAATCCCAAGTACTGGAAGAAACCCCAGTTGTTGTAAACAACTGCCAACTACGAGAAAATGAAGGACAACAATTAACTACAGCCCAACGGCTTGCAACTGATGCATTGCTTAACAAATATCACACTGTCTTCAAAGTAGGGGGAGAAGCCACTCCATTCATTGAACACCATATTAACACAAGAAACAGCCCCCCTGTTTCAGTCCCTCCATATCGGATGAGCCCAAGTAAGAAAGAACTGTTGAAAAAGGAACTTGATTCCCTTCTAAAACAAGGTATCATAAAAGAATGTGAAAGCCCCTATGCCTCTCCTGTGGTTCTGATTCCCAAGGCAAATGGAAAAGTACGGTTATGCATTGATTATCGTAACCTAAATGCTCAAACCGTTCCAGACACTTATCCTTTGCCACGTATAGATGATTTGTTGAGTGAAGCAAAACCGACACCTTATATGTCAACTATTGATTTGAGATCCGGTTATCATCAGGTGAGAGTAGCTGAAGAAGATCAAAATAAGACTGCTTTTGTTTGCCCTTTTGGTACATATAAATTTACCCGAATGCCCTTCGGATTGAGAAACGCTCCTGCCACTTTTTCTAGATTGATAGATAGGTTCCGTTCTGGACTTAATAATGTGTTTGCTTTGACATATTTAGATGATATCATCGTGCTGTCATCTAGCTTCGAAAAGCACCTTTCTGACTTAGAACAAGTTTTCCAACGTCTATCGTTATTCAAGCTCAATGCTAATCGTGAGAAGTGCCACTTCTGTTGTGAAAAAGTGAAATATTTAGGGCATTACATTACTAAGCATGGTATAGCTGTTGATCCACACAAGACTGCTGCCATTGCAGACATGCCATCGCCGAAAACTGTTAAGCAAGTGCAATCGTTCGTACAAACGTGTTCCTGGTATCGTCGATATATTCCAAATTTTTCTCAAATAGCCAAACCGTTAACGGATTTAACAAAGAAGAAAGCGCTGTGGAAGTGGGAAGCACAACAAGAAAATGCTTTCCAAGAGCTGAAATCCAAATTAATTAGCCCGCCGATTCTTAAGCAAGCTGATGGAACGAAGCCTTTTATCATTCGCACAGATGATGCTAGCAATGTAGCCATTGGAGCAGTGTTGCTACAAGGGGAGAAAAATGAAGAACACCCTATAGAATATGCCAGCCGCTTGCTGACTGCATCAGAACGAAACTATTCCACCATAGAAAAAGAAGCCTTAGCAGTAGTATGGGCACTCAACAAATTTAGAGGATATGTTGAAAGCCAGTCTATCACAATCACCTCTGACCACCAACCATTGAAATGGCTGATGTCTTTAAAGTCACCAACTGGTAGGCTCGCAAGATGGGCCTTACAAATCCAATCCTACAATCTGACTATCAATTACATTCCTGGACGATTGAACTTTATTGCTGATCTATTGTCTCGTCCTATTTGTGAACACTCAAGTACAGATTCTTGTCAAGTATGTGCTGTCTCTGTCGAAATCCCTACTATTAGCCCTGCAGAATTAAGACAATCACAGCTAGAAGATGATGATCTTCGGAAGATCATCGAAACTTTTGAGAGTCCAGAGAAAAAGAAGCAGACTGTGCAACTTGGACTGGAAGAGGCTACGTTATGAACAGAGGAGTTTTGTACCGATATTCCCCTGATTCAGAAGAGGAAGAAGCTCAACTAGTTATACCTCAAAAAAGAAAAGCAGAAATCTTGAAAGAATATCATGATTCGCCAACGGCCGGTCACTATGGATCTGAAGGAACATTTTATCGAATAGCAAAAAGATACTACTGGGTTGGAATGAGAAAGGATATAGCAGAATATGTCAAAAGCTGTCTCGAATGCTGTCGTTATAAAGCCACTAATCAAAAGCCATCTGGCTTACTTCAAACTCCAGTCTATGCTCAACGTTTTGAGACCTTGTCAATTGATCTTTTCGGTCCCCTTCCTGAAACACCGTCTGGTGAAAAATGGATTTTTATTGTGCAGGACTGTGCTACGAAGTGGACAGAACTATTTGCTTTAAAGGAAGCCACGGCCAGAGAATGTGCCACTATTCTTTTGGAGGAAGTCGCCCTTCGATTTGGGTTACCCAGGAAAATAATAAGTGATAATGGTACCCAGTTTACTAGTGCTGTTATGCAACAACTATGCTATATCTTGAACATTGATCAAAGTCTTACTCCTGTCTATCACCCACAATCTAACCCAGTTGAAAGGAAGAATAGAGATCTGAAACCACGTTTAGCAATACTTGTTGGTAACGACCATCAGTCATGGAAGGATAAACTGCCATTAATAAGGTTTGCTTTGAATACAGCCAAATGTGATTCAACTGGACATTCTGCTGCTTTTCTTCAATTTGCACGAGAGTTACGAACCTTAGATGATGTAAAGCATGATATAAAAGCCGTAATTGAGAACGATAATTTTGTTCCCGAAATTACTCCATATTTGAAACGTTTTGCAAGAAATGTACAACAGGTACGAGAAAGAGTCGAAATGCATCAAGATAAGCAGAAACGAAACGATATGCTGACAAAAAACGAAGAGAAACACCGAAATTCGTTCCTGGAGATAAAGTTTGGGTCACCCTCCACCCAATCAGCAAAGGTCCACTGAAGAAAACTGCTAAATTCATGCCCAAGAGAGATGGTCCTTATGTGATAGTGACTACAAGATCTCCAACCACTTATGATATTGCCGATCCTCATGAACCAGACAAAATTCTCGGCAAGTATCATGTTTCAGCCTTGAAACCATATCAAGATCGAAATAAGTTTCAAAACTCAGCTCGTGTAATTCCAGTGGTTCCCTTAAAGAAAAGAGGACGCCCGAAACGTGTAATACCACCCGAATCTGCACCTGTTGCACAAGGTGCTGGTGACGCAAAAAATCTACTGCTCGTCAAACTGGAGCCCGTTCATCTGATTCTCCGCCCGCTGCACAAAGTAGACAAATGTCAGTTCCTGACTTCTTGCCGAGACGTCTACGAAGTCAGAGGGGGAGGATGTAACAGACCTATTTAAGTGTAATTGAACTATTTTATTCACGCCATGAACTCATGAACTGTAACCGAACTATTTTATTTAAACGCCATCTCGTGGCGATATGAAAAAACGTCAGTCGACCTCCAGCCGCCATGATGATAGCTTACTATGTTATGTTATTCTCAATGTTTGATGTTCCATTTGGTATATGTTTCATTTTTATGTATATTTCTTTTGTTTGTAACCGTTCCTGTGTGCTCTGTTAATAAATCCTTTTAAAGCTAGCCGGCATTAGTGTCTATTGAGGAACGGCTACATCACACATGTATGTATGATAATTTCATTTAATAGCAGGCATAAATGAGTAATAATATAAAAATTAAAAACATTAAACATACTCTAAAAACTGGATCTTAATATCTATGAATTCTTAATAGTTCAGTTGAGTTTTCAACTGACTATAAGTACGTATGTGAAGATAACTTGCCCATATGGGGCCGTGACTTAAAGAAAGTGGCTCGTATTTATATTACATACAAGAAACCTCTTCGGTCATTAGATTAAAACAAAGATAAGTAACAATACTTTGCTAGTTAAGCTACAAGATAAAGCAGTTCACTATGTTCAAAAAAAAATTACATGTGAAAGATATGTTCTCAAATTTTGATATGGTGATTCAAACAGCTAATAAAATAATTGCCAGCCAAAAAATTCTTCAATGACTAAATACATATAAAATTATTTCTCTTATTTCATTTTCTATACAGATACCTTTTTTTTCCTGGCATTGACAAGGAAGAATCTGATGAGCTGACGGAGAAGACTGATTCCAGTGAAGAATATTGTGTTTTATTTTTCATTTCATCAAAACAATCTACAAACATTAATAAAAATGAAATAAGATAATACTTACACCCTGAAATATGCAAGGATTCATTTTAGCAAAAATTACAAACAAGATTTTAAAAACCATGATGAAAATTATGTGACACATCTTAATTATATTAAGTACAATTCTTCATTAAAAAAAATACAAAAATTCATGACCATCAGATGATTAGTATCGATCTTAAACTTTATTTTTATTCAATTTCAAAAAAAGAATATAAAATGCTAAATCAAGTACTCTTTAGCAAAACTTATTTAATTATGTGAAAACATGCAAGGAGGTTTCCAAGCAGTCAAGTGATAAGATACTAGTTTTCTATCTGAATCCTTCTATCCTTTCAGAATATGGCAACCTAGGATGCACTGAGCCTCATCAGAAATACTTAAGCAAACACATTTTCGGTGTAATTCTAATAACAATGTCTAAACCAGTGTTCTCTGAACTTTTTTCATCATAGAACCCTTTTTAAGTTCTAAAATTTTTACAGATTAGTGGTGTAAATTTGGGTTTTTAGTTATAATAAGAAATTATAACACAGGTATATTAGATAAACTATTTTTATATCATACCTATGACAGAAATTTTTTCAATTTTAACTGTTACAAAAAATGCATATGTAAAACTAATTAAATAAAACAATATAAAAAAAAAAAAAAAAAAAAAAAAAATCAAAACACTTTAGGTTTCAATAACTTTGAAGTGTTTGAGCCTTGAAATTACAAATTCAGTTAATATCTCCCACAATATTAGAAATCTGAATTCTCATATTAGAAATCTGATGCAGAATCAATTCAGTACACATTTAAATTTTGTTGCAGTGTAATGTTAAAAACCTGCCTCACAGAAATACATATCTGTGAAAGGAAGCAAAATATAAGTAACACATTTCGATAAATTTGGATATTCTTTTGACAAACTTAACATAAATTTATAAGGTATTTTCTCCCTACTTCCCATATGCCTTCATAGTGTAACTAGAAGCACACTTGACGAGTATGTGGGATGTTCAGAGTTCGAAAGTAGCAAAGGCATTGCATGTTTTTCACATTCTTACACTAATATAAGCTAATGACTCTACAAGTGGCTCCTGAACTAAAAAGGAGGTGGACTATTAATTCATAATCAACAGAATTTGGTGATTGAGTCCCTTAATCTCCAGTTGCCCTTTAAGAGGAGATGTATTTAAGGTTTCTCCCTCCTTTGTGAACACCTTCATAGTATAGCTAAAAGCACACGTGATGCATATGCAGGAGGTCCGGAGTTCGAATTCCACTGCACACTTTTCACATTCCTATATCAATATAACCTAATGACTCGACAAATTCATTTAACAGTAAATATTTAAATTTTTGTTTTATGCCAGAATCAATTGTCAAATCAATTATTTTAAATCTGCTGCACTCATATGTATCACATTAACTGTTAATATGAAAGAATTTTAAATTCAAGAGCTTCCTTTATGGCACTCTTGGGAAATATTAACCAAGATTTAACTACAAACTATGGAAATGTTACAGTATTTTATTATAAACTTTATTGTCTGTTTTTAAACTTTCTTTATTTAAGAAGTCATCTAAAAGGAGGGAAAACAGTCATATTTATTATCTTCTAGGGGAGAAATACAGAATAGCAAATTTTGTTTGAAAGACACTATTTTTTCGTTACATTAAAAATAGAAATGTTTCTTCCTTGTAATGATAAATTCATTTCATTATACATAGTAAATATCCTGATAAATAAATAACACTCATTAGCCATATAGAATTTCCATGGATAATAGGATATAGGAAAATTCTATGAAAGTTTGCCTCAAATAGCTTAATGAATAGGAAAACATTAACTCCTTATGCAGTTCAAACAATCTTGAAAATCTCAGTTGAAATAACATGCCGAATAACGATTGTTGGAGGTGCTAAATGAACAAGAATCAGTGTAATATTCTTAAATTTCAAGGACTAGTTTTGAAGGTATAATTATAGAATATGTTTCAGTTGAAAATGACAAAATTGAGTTTGATGAGTTTCAGTACAAATGATGAAATAGAAGCCTGTGGTCAGGCAATAACAATGAGCCTTAGCACTGCTAATAATCTACAGAAGGGATTCTCAACCGGTGGTACACAAGAGAAAAATAAGTGGTACACAAAGAAGCAAAGTATTTTTTACTATTAAATTTAAAAATTGAAATCCCAACATCCTGATTGAGTTTTCTCTAACACTCGTAAATTTATACGATTTGAGCTTTGTTCAAGGTCAATAGCCGCTTATAGACTGTAGCAAGGGCAAATGATCTGTGCATGGCAGTTTTCAAGGTTCTATCATGTTGTAAGTTTAAAAAATATTCTTTTAGCCGTAGACATAACAAAATTTGCCATAAATGATGTTTTTAGAAAACATGATAGAAATAGATGCTGTATTTAATAGGAAATAAAAATAAACTCTTATAAAATTATCATTAATTCTCTACGAGTTTATCGATTTATTAGCATCTCAGCACTTTATGTTGCCATTTTCAGGCTCATATTGCTCCATTTCTAGTGAGAATCATTTTTTTATGTTGGTTTTGCTGTCACTGTCAAACCCAACTTATGCCTATTTTTTCAGTGGAGTTATAGTAGACAATAATCAGAAATAAAGGGAGAAGCGGCAGTTATTCTGAAACAAAATGGCTTTTGTTGGATCATTACCATTTAAGCCCAGAAGTTTTTAGGTAAAAAAGTCATACAAAGAAGCCGAACAATAATTAGAGAGATTTTATGTATGAATTGCAGGTTTCTCTTGATGGATGGGCAAAAGGGTTAAAAGTTAATACTTTTTCTAATCTGAAAGAACCAATAGTTGTGGACCAGATGAAGGTGCATGAGCACTGAAGCTAAAGAAAAATACAAGCTATATAGATGAATGGGATAAAATTAAATCACCGCTCATGTTAGCAGACAAGCTAGATAACTGCAAAATTATGAGGCAGGATTTCAAGAAAAATTTATTCACTACTAAGAGAGATTTTCTGGTTGCAAGACCTAAAGAACTTAGAAAGCCAGAGGAGAAAGAAAGAACAACTGCCTCCTAAAAAATTTTCTAAACACCTGCATAAACTAGATGAACAGGACAAGGAGAGTTTTGAGAAGTAGAAACCACACCAATGTTTTGAGTATGGATTGTCTTCATATCTGCAACTCTTATCACTCTGGAGAAATAAGAAGCCGAATCTGCTTCAATGTTTTGTGCACGGTTTGTCTTCACATTTCTGACCCTCACTTCCACACTGTACCAAAAAAAAGGAGGGAAGAGAAACTGACATGCTTAGCTTTGCACAGCATTGCAGAAGTAAGGTGATTATTAATGGTTGGCAGTGGTAATAGATTTATGGCGCAAAGCTCTAAAAGGCCATATGCACCAAACACAGGTTTTATTGTATATATGTTAGATAGAGAAAAAGGTTTAAAAACAACAGCACACTTATAAAATCGAGGCAAGTAGTAAGAAAATGAAATGGTGGGATGAAATGCTGATTAAGATTCAGATAATGATATATGCAGTATGGATTTAAAATCATAACATATCTGATTCATTAAAATTCTAATATAAAATCTCAAGATAAAATCAAATTAAATAATAGAGAACTGTTTCTTTCAGATACTGAAACAAATTGGTATTGACCTCTTTTCCAATTAAATGGTGGAGAGGCAGGTCACAGCTATTAAAATACTTCTGACGAAAGCTATTAAAATATTGACACTCAATTAAAATGTGATGGACTGACAGACAAACATTACAATTTGGACAAACAGGCTCATTCTCAACTTTCATTAGATAGTTATGTGTTCCTCTAGTGTGACCTATTCTAAATAGAGTCAAAAGAACTTCCTCCTTACGATTTCTAGTAAAATTCCAAAGCTCTATTTTAGGCTTCACTGTTCTTGGCTTGTTACAAGACTGGAAGTCCCAAAGTTGCTGCCACTTTTTTAAGATCTTTTGTTTGATGACATGACTGATATCTCTTAAAGGGATGAGGCGAAAAAACAGTTCAACAGCAGATTTCCCTGCGATGTCTGCCAGCTCATTACTCTTTATTCCTCTATGTCCAGAAACCCAGCAGTACAAAATTTCATATCCATGGCTTGTTAATTAAATATTCAACTTGAGTACATCCACTATCACAGGATTCTCGGTGCTGGAAAAAAGATTCTAAAGCTTTCGATGCATTGTAGGAGTCTGTATATATAATGAATTTTCTATGGCGTAGCATTGAGATGTACAAAAGTGCATAATATATGGCAGTCAGTTCAGAGGTTAAGACCGAGGAAGCGTCATGTAAACGTCTGCCCTCCACTTGGTCACCAATTATAAATGACATCTCAACATGACAAGCTGACTTAGATCCATCTGTATATATGGAAACATAACTGCTGTAACTATGCCTGTGCTCAGCAAAAATTTGTCTGTAAATGCTCTCATTAATAGTTGTTTTGATGTAACTGTGGAAAATATCAAGAAACTGGATTTGTGCATTTTCCCAAGGTGGGATTTCAAAATGCTGGACATATCAGACAGAGACAATTCTTCAATGAGAGGACAAACTCTAACAGGAAAAGAAGGCACACAGGATGGACATGCCTCAAATAAAAGGTCACAGCTATTATCAAGTAAATACAGTTTATAAGAATGGTCAGGTTGAGACAATATATTAAAATACTGTAAAAGAGAACTCCTCACACCTCAAACGGAGTGATGGTTCGTAACAGTCAACATAAAGGCTCTGGACAGGAAACGTCCTGAAGGCTCCAGAACAAATCCACAGAGCCTGATGATGAACAGGATAAGTTTTAACAACACTGAAGACTGAGCAGATCTGTAACCAGCTGAGCCATAGTCCAGTCTAGAGCGAACAAGAGCTCTGTAAATGCAAAGCATGGAGCAACGCTCTGCACCCCAGGAGGTGTTCGCCAGGACTTTTAAAATATTAAAAACTTTTGTACACTTCTT